TCCAATAATTATCCTTCAAATTACTTTGTGATGATTTAGTCATTTGAATTCTTCATTTATGCCAAAATAGTATTTAAATATTTTTAGTGCATTTTTTTGTAATTATATTTATATTTTTAGTCTAAATTGCACATCTTTGCAATAATAGCCCTACTAATACATAATTACATTATTGATGTATAAAATGGTCTTTTATATTTTTAAAATATTAAACAACTATTTTAAATCATTTTCGTATACAATTTTTTTTTTTTGGAAATCATCATTATTTTTATAAATTATATAGCTATTAAAGTGGCTATTTAAAATCTTACCTATTTTTATTTTGATTTTTAGCCCTATCTTGACCAAATAACTAGCCCAATTTTAATTCAAATTACCCAACCCAAACCCTTCTACCCGATCTATCCCCAAAACCCCTTCAATCTCGGCCGTTGATCATAAAGATCAACGGCCACAAATGACCCTTCCTAAGATAAACCAAATGACCCCCCCATAACCCTTTAATTCTACACCATCCACCGCCCTGAAACCCTTCTCATCTCTCAAACGCTCTCAAACCTAACCCTAATCAAACCTAATCGTCACTCATCTATGGCTATCTATGGTGGTCTCTCACCACATCCAGGCATCTATTAGCCTCTCTCACATTGATATCACCATCTCCATGGTCCTCAAGGGACCAGGGTCAGTTGGCTTGCATCTATGGTCCCTTTCTCGCCTGTTTCAGGCCGTTCCAGTGTGATTCCGAGTAAGATCGTCCTATTTTTACTATGATCTATGGGTTTCTAAGCATGTTTCTTCACCTCTGTGTTGTTCTCTTCGAAACCCTAATTTCTTTTTTTTGAACCTCTTAGATCTATACAGATCTAAGATGATTTGAACTTGTTTCATATAAGTTTTACAACAACCTTGAGATTCTTTACAAGAATCGTATGATTTTCAAGTGATTTTCATCTTTTCTAAACTAGGGTTTCCGGAAATTTCTTTTACAAAATGTTTGATGAATTTTGAGTGTTTAATCTTCTGCTTCTTATGTGTTTTGACTGATTTTGTAAACCTTAACTCGATTGTACTAAAAGCCCTAATTTTTAACGTTCTTCGTCTGGTTTTTGAGTATTGGTATACTGATTGTGTTCTTGCTTTGGTTCTTGTGATTCCTCATGCTTTTCTTTTCCTAATATGCCTCTACTGAATTTTTTAGTTCAACCTTTCGCTGATTCTATATGCTTGTGTTCATCCTGACTATTTATGTTAAGACCTATATCTTTCTCCTAGAATTAGTGTCGATTTAACTATTTGTTTCATTAAAATTACGTGTTGAATCCTGACTATTCATTTCTTACCTTATTTTATTTGCTAAACTTGTGACTCTATATGTGATTTTCTCCTTGACTATTCTAAAATTTTTATTCCCTGATTTTATTTGAACTCTTTTCCTTAACAAATTTTGATTCTTATTTTTGATCGAACCCGTTGCCTTAATTAGCTTTCCCCTTTCATTATTTGATATATGTTGATCTTTATTGATTGTTACCTTAATTCAAACTTCTGATAATATACTCCTAATTACCTACTCTATACCCGAAACTTACTTGATTCTTTTCCTTAAATATCTAGCATGTTTTACCGTTGATTTGATTATCCCTTGATTAAGGGGAAGACTTGCTGATTTTTACATGTGATTGATTCCGTGAATCTCTCTAATTGCTACTTAATTGATCCCTTAACTTATTTTGCTAAGCTTTTGATTACTATATAAACTCCCTCATATTCTCACTTCTAAGGACATAACATTAGTTCACAAAAAACACATTGACACTCTAAAAGTTCTCTTTCTCTTCTGCTATTTGTGATACTTACTGATCTAGCCGGCTGAAAGCCAAGGATAGATATTGGAACTTCATTTGCTTTATATTCTGCACCCTTTTCTTCAACTAGTATGTCTCTGATTAAGTTTTGAAATCCTAACCCTATATGTTTCATTCCTGCACTAGTTCATCAATTATGAGTTCAACTTGTATTCCTGCCTACTTCTTTGCTCAACATGTCTAAACTCTACCTGTTCAATGTATTCTTTATATTCTGCACTCTTTCCTGCTTACTTCTTTACCTAGTATGTCTAAATTGTATGTTTAATCCTATTCGAGACATGTCAACTATGATCTTTGTCTTAACTGCTTACTGTCCATGATTAGCTTGCCGAGTCTCTAAGACCCCAAGTGCTTTATGCAGTTTGTTGACTATATGTTTCCTTTATACCCTATCCATGTACCCTAATGTGATTCTTATGTGAGATCTGTTTATTAAGCATTTTCTGAATCTGGATGTTTTATGACCAATTGATTGCCTGCTGTTTTGGTACTCTTCTCAAACTGTCTTTTTACCACCAAACTATTTCCTGTTTCTGAAAAACCTTTTACTTCTAAAGTCATCTCTGTACTATTTTCAAAACTTTTTAAAACTATGTCAAGCACTCTCACTTCACTCTTAGAATACTAGGTTCTGCCCCTCTGATATGTGTACTGCCTTGAGATCCTTCAAATCTCTCTAAACTCTGGCATGTCAGAACTGGCCTTTTCACACTGCACCTAAATCAGTTATTACTTGAGAAAAGGTCTAGGTGTGAGCACTGCCTGGGATCCTTGAGGTCCTTAGGGAACTCTGACACACCTAGACATGAAATTAGCTATAGAACTTTGGGCATTTGATGCTATTGGAGGCTGGGAATCATTTAGGCCTACTGTAGGCTCCCTATAGATTAATTCCTATTGAATTATGTATTTTTATTTAATTCATTGGTCTGTAATAATTTTTGTAAACAAACATTGGAGTTATTAGTGAAAAGGGGTGGGTAGTTATATATATGTTGGGTAAATTGGCTAGATATCATGCCTATAGGGTCCATGTTGATTTAAATGTGTTTGTTATGTTTGCTTTACTTCCACACAATTAGAAACAATGTCTATAGGATCTAAATGGCTTTAATAATACAGATCATGCTTATAGGGTTAAAATGACTTTATAAATAGATATCATGCCTATAGAGTATAGAGTAATTGAAGTTCAGTTTTCATTACAGCATGTATTCAAATTCATCACCTTAGAAATCATACCTATAAGTCCAAAAGTCAGCTTTTAATAGTTAGATACCATGCCTATAGGAATTAAAATCGGCTCTAATAGAAATCATGCCTATAGAACTTAAAACCAGTTTAGTTAAATAAATTAGTTCAAATTCATGTTTATATATTCTGAATTGGCTTGATTTATTAATCTGCTCGTTTCTTTAATAAATTTTCAAACACCGCCTTAAAACTAATATTGCTAGAAAGCATACCTATAGGATATCAAGTTGTTGTTTAAAAATCATTCTACTGATTTATTGCATTCCCAATCAATATAGATACCATGCTTTTAGGACGTCACTGTTATGCACTTAGGCAAGCCTATAGGGCTATTAAAATCCTGCAACTATAAAAGCTGCGCTTTGTTATTTAAGACTGTTCACATTCACAGGTCTAAAATCAGTACGCAAGCTAAATAGGCCTTTGACGCTTGGTCCTAATTCAATGTTGTATAATCTCTGCTCACCTAGATATCATGTCCTAGGATTTTCTCTTAAATACTTGACTGTTGTTTGAAAACGTGCACTTACTTGTTATATTTGTGGAGGTGAGTGTGAGCCTGTAATTTATTTTCTTTAAATGCAGTCCTAATTATTTTTTATTAACGCCTAGACTTTTATCCTTTAAAACCTTAGGAAGTTCTAGAACTACCTAAATTAGAGGTCCAAAATACCTCTAAGGCCACAAGGAAGGGACGAGTAGTGCACACATTGGACATCTATCAAGGTTATTAGAACGCTTTAGGCTATGACCAAGGGGAGAGAATTGGGTAGTAAGGATATGATGACTACGCGCTAATGCCACTTGTAGCCCCCATTGAGGAGTGATTACCGGGTATTGTGTGGGGTGATCCTGTCGGCCAACCAACCTAGGACCCCTCGTTCCCAAGTTTCGATGTTTAAACTTTACTTTTCTTTATATATGTGCAACTTGTTCAAACCTTTTCCCATGTTCCATTACTTGAGTCATATATGTGCTTAACATGCCTTTATTTGCAAGTATGTGTTTAAACTATTTATTTGTTAAAATGACTAATTCATATAAGTATAAGTTCGGTTGGGACCCACCGTTGTGGACCGAGAGGGGTGCCTAACACCTTCCCCTCAAGATTATTTTGAGCCTTTACCCTAAATCTCTGGTAATGCAAACTAGTCTAAGAGTTAATCGCTCTAGGTGCCGTAACACACCATAAACCGTTAGGTGGCGACTCTTCAAATACCCAATTCCCAAAAAAGGAAATGAGTTATTACCCCCATGAATGTCGAAACCCGAACTTCTCTCCGCGAAGGAAATAAAGGGAGCGCGACATAGACCTTACCCTTATCTTATAAAGATAAAGATGCTTCCTATTTTTCTTTCTTAAATGACCACATAAAATAGGACACATGGGAGTAAGTAGAAAAATTGTACTAAAATATAAGGGGCCGTTTGGTAGGATGTATTAGGGAAAAATAATACATATATTAGCTTTGGTATAATTAATCTCTTATTTGGTAGTATTTTTCAATCTATGCATGTGTTAATTATACACCCTATTTGGTATCATCTTATGTATAACTAATACATAACAAACCATAACATTAGTAATACCATAGTTTTTAATACATGGATAAGCATATATACACCACTGTGCAATGTATTTTATTTTCAATACACTAAACCAAATAGTGAATAAAAAATAATATCAACATAACTTATTCCAACATTACTAATACCCTGCCAAACGACCGCTAAGTGAAAGCTAAAACAAGAAAGAAAAAAAGGAGAAGGTACCATTGACAAACAAACATCGGTAAATTTCTCTCTCATCTTTGTAATAAATGAATAGGCTAATTAGGGTGTATGTCTTTTGACTTGGACTGACACCTTCACACGCAACACTTTCAATAATAGAATCCAATCCCCCCACATTGAAGGCAGTCTCCTCCCCTGCAGCTACCTTCCATTTTTCTTCTGAGCTTTTAATTTTGCATTAACTCTCCCTATCTCCATAGCTTAATTGTAGCAAACACTCGTCTCTATATAACTTCACTATTTTTCGCAGCTCCATTTGGGCGATGGGCGTATTACACTGCCGCCATCATCATTTCCAACACACACCCTCCTGCTTCTCTTTTGCTACCATAGCCACATTAACTTTCCTTTTGCTTACCTCTGTTGTTTCAGCTCTTCGTCTCAACCCCACTCGACGACTCAGTGAGTTCACCTATTTCTCACTAATTTACGTCTTTTTATATCAGTAGATTTTTTTTTTATACATACTCACGCCGTATTGAATTTTTATACTATTGGTGTATTTTAATTTATTGTCGTAGATTGTAATAATCTTCATTTTTGGTGAAATATTATTTGTAATTTTCTTTTAGGCGACGTGACTGTAAAGAAGATTTACACTCTTGGTGCATAAACTCTTTGTAATGGATTTACCATCTTTCAAAATATTTTATGTTTATTAAAACTCGATAATCTGATTAATTTATATACGCGTACTTAGTTATCCTAACTGCTAGAGATATTTATGTTTTTGTGAAGCATAGGTGGTGAGCAGCAAGAGGTGATTGAGCGAGTTCTGCCTCAGAGAAAACTGAGTGGACCGGGTTCATCACCACCCACCTGCAGATCCAAGTGTGGAAGGTGTTCGCCATGTAAACCGGTTCGAGTCTCCATTCAACCCGGTTTTAGTTTCACTTTAGAGTACTACCCCGAAGCCTGGAGGTGCAAGTGTGGAAACAATCTATTCATGCCTTAAAAGTATATTACTCTTGTTTCTTTCTTTTTATTTGTTTCTAATTTTGTTCTCCACGTCTAATTAATCACTTATTCTACTTTCTTCACTGCCTATAATATCGAAATGCACCAACAAAAAGCATGTACTAACTACTAAGTATCATAAACTTTGGCTATAGTCTAAATTAGAGCTTTTTATTTTTAATTTAATTTTGTAAAGGTTTTTTCTCTGCTTATTATTCAAAGAAAAGATTCTCCAAATAAAAGAAAAAGTCAAAAGAACCATTTTGTTGTGTAGTTGTACTGCTGATTCTTCTCTTTTTCATGCGAATGACAGAACCTTGGAAACATAATTTTCTTATTTTTTTTGTTAGATTTCAGAGATTTGTTCTTCACTCTTTGCTCTCTGCTCATTGCTCTCCCATAACACTTGTTATCTCTATTTTTTTTTTCATGTATTTTTTTTTAATAATACTTCCTTCATTTCACTTTTAAGTGATTTTTTAACTATTCTTACACATATTAAAGAATCTATTTTAAAATATAAATTAACAATAAAATTGACCATGTCAATCTTTACTACTACCTTTCATTCGAAATGTAACATATACTATTCTTTAGTCCAATCATAACTTTGAAAAAAGTAATTAATTCCTTTTTGATATTTGAAAAAATCAAATATTATGAATTATAAAAAAAGGAAAAAATAATTAAAGTGGACAGGAGAAAGTAGTCCAGATCAAGTTCTCCTACTTCAATTAATTCATGATTGAAATTCACGCTTTTTTTTTTTAATTTATCATCCTATAATGGCAAGGTAAATCACTGGGTGAAGCCTGTGACTCTTTAAGAACTATCAGTCACCTTGTTTCAAGGAGCTTGCGTGCATTACTTTGAGTTTAAGTTATATATGCATTACCATGCAAAAATATACATACAATTAGATCGCTTAAAATATAATTACGATAAATTCATTTCATAGACAATGATCGGTAAGTAACTAAACCTGTTATAATACATTTAGTTATACTGATGATATAAAAAATTATATTACACTATCAATATAACTTAAATTTAATATCTTAATGGAAAAAAACTAAAGGCACAGAAAAGGATGGAGACCATACCGGACCTCCTAATATAAATTACATCCCTCTTGCATCATAACATATTTCCAAGACAAGATCAAACTAAGTCGAATATGGACATACCCCAATTTGGAAGCCTGTTTTATCCATACAAAGTTGTTTTTAAGAAGGGCATTTAGCATAGACTCAGACGTACAGAAACATTTGAACAGAGGACAAATATTTTATACAAATTATTTTTTATACAAATATAACGAGTCTTGGTCTAGTGATAAAATATTCCAGGGGAAAACTTTGTTGTATTCACAAAGTATCGTCTCAATATATACAGAGTTGTGTCCAGCTAGCAAGTCTCTTGGACCCTATTTTCTGGGGTACATAATATATGCGAATATTACCTACCAATAATACAAAATATAATTTTTATTATAACGATTCCGGTCAGTAATTTTATGTATTTGAGCCATGTTTTTTCTATTTAATGCTTTCCGTATGCTTGATTATTGTTTTGTGACTTGCGAGAATAGTTGGTTTGGTTCTAGGAAGGTTTTGGGGTGAATAAGAATACTTGGTTCTATTGTTGAAAGCTTAAGTTATAAGAGTTGACCAAGGTTTAACTTTTGTGAAAAACAGTCTCAGATTGGTGATTTGATGGTTCCAATAAGTTCATATGGTGATCTTGGACTTAGATGTATGTTCGAACTTGGATTTGGAGGTTCCAAGGATGTTTCAGCTCTATTTGCCGAAATTTGGTAGTTTGAAGGTTTGAAAAGTTCACAAGTTTGACCGGGAGTTGACTTTGATATTATCGGGTTTAAATTATTGTTTCGAAACTCAAAATAGGTTTATTTTGTCATTTGAAACTTGTGTGCAAAGTTTAGTTGCATTCCGAGTTGGTTAGGTATGAATCAGACGCTAAGTTGTGAATTATTGAAGTTCTTGAACTTAAAGGCATGCAACATGAGTTTTGATACTTGATTCTTGTTAGTGGATATTATCTTGATGACTTGAGCTTACGAGCAAGTTCGTGTGAGGTTTATATAGTTGGATGAATGTTTGGAGTGAGTCCCGAGGCGCTCGGGTAAGTTTCAGCTTGGTTTCAGATTGATTTTTGGAAGTTGGAATTTTCGCTGGTATTGCAGTTCTAATTGCATTTGCGGACTTTTGATCGCATTTGCGATGTTGGATTGAGGAGGCCAGCTTCGCAAATTGTTGATCACATTTGCGATGTTTGATTAGGGAGGCCAGCTTCGCATTTGCAAATCTGGTGACGCAATTGATACTTTCACTTTTGTGAGGGATAGTTTGCTTTTGTGATGAAGGGTCTCATTTGCGATATTTTGGGTCGCTTTTGTGACATCAGCTGCATAAGGGTTATGTTTGCTTTTGTGACACTTTGGTCGCATTTGTGAGGGTCCCATTTACAAATCCCTGGTCGCAAATGCAACACATGCAGTTGGGTTATAGAGAGCCATTTCGGGATTTTGACTCACTATCTCATAATTTGAACAGTAAACTTGGGAGGGGCAATTTTGGCTTGCAGATTTTCACACATGGCTTTGGGATAAGTGATTCCTACCATTTTGGTATTATATCGAGAATCTATATGGATTATTAACTTCTAAAATATGGAATTTTGAGAAAATTTTTGGATTTTTTTTCTACGACATAAGAAAATAAAAACTAGGAATTTGAGCTATGATTTGGATTTGATTTTAGAATCTAATCACACATTTAGACTCGTGAAATTATGGGTAGTCGGAATTTACTCCTTGACTCGGGTTTGGACTGTGTGGGTCTGGAGTTGACTTTTGTTGACTTTTTGATAATTGAATAAAGATCGAAGCCTTATTATTTGAAATTATTCCCTATAGCCTTGTTTGACATGATTGATTTGTTTTGGGCTACATTGGACCCGTTCAGATGCCGATTTAAGAGGCAATTAATTTTTGGAATATTCATTCTCTTGCTTTAAGGTAACTATCTTGCCTAGGCTTGGCTCGAGGTAATTTTCTCGTAGGTCATGATGTTTGATATATGTTATGGGTGACGCATATGCAAAGTGACGAGCACATATGCGTGCACCATAATTTTTCATGATCCGGGTTGAATCTAGGTTTGCTTTGATACCATATTTTCTTTAATGTCGTATTTTATACACTTGTTGACTACGTGAGCCATGATAGATGCTAGAAATCATGTCTAGGTCATTTATTCATCTATTTGGAATATGATAGAGCTCTTTTTGTTATATTGAGCTATTTGTCTTAGCTGTAGTCATGCTTTTCAGTCATGATATTAAATTCGCGTATTATATCTCTGTCTCGATACATTCTTTATATGTTATCTCACATGTCATTAGTGTCCTTTTGTGTGTGACATGTGTTTGAGATGAGTTGTGGCACGTTAGCTTACTCCGTGTGGTATTTTGATCATGGCACGACGAGATGTGAGCATATAGAGACTTGAACAGATTGATGACAGATCTTGGGCTAAAGAACCGTGTTGATATTGATTGTGAGGTGACGTTTTCATCCACGCCCTATATTGGGCTGAGCGGTATTGATAGTGGAGTATTGATTGATTGTGAGAGGACATTGGTTCAGGTCCCATATTGGGGTGAGTGATATTGATCGTTAACTCTTCATGCGATTAGCACTTGAGCTAGGATTCGCCCCTCCGGAGACATGAATAATCATGTGAGTGCAGGCATTCGATATGTGCTTTGTGAGGGGATTATGCCAGGTACTCATACAGTACTAAGTGTGAGTGCGCGTGATGATTCAGAGGCTTTAAGCCAGGCATCACAAGCGTGATGAGAGTATGGTTGAGGGATAATTGTGTCAGGCACTATGTATGAGCTGAGATTGTATTTACATGATAATTAAACTGTGATGTTATTGATTTTGACATGAATACTTGTCATGCAGTCGTAGAGTTTTATTTTCTCATGTTATTCGATACTTGATGTCATTAAAGTCGATGCCTTGACTGATATATTTGGCAAGCATGCTTATTTTCCTCTTAATGTGATAGAGTTGAACCTTTGAGTTACTTTTGCTTTTGCTATTATTATGTTGTCATTATTGTAGTTGACTATTGAACATGAGTATTGGACCTTGCCAAGCTCGTCAATGCTTTCAGTCCGAGGTTAGACTTCCTACTTACATGGGGCCGACTGTACTTATACTACACTCTGCGTTTCATATCCTGATCTAGGTGTCGCCGATCATGGTATTTTCCTATAAGCCGGATCCGGACTAGTTGGAGATTTTGATGTAGCACTGCTGATCCGTTTGCAGGCCTTAAAGTCCATTTCTTTATTTAATGTCATTACTTTTTAGTATTTCGGACAGAATTATATTTGACTCAGACCTTGTATTTACCTATTCTATAGAGCTCATGTACTTGGCGACACCAGATTTTGGGGTTGTTTTTAATTGTATCATTGTTTTGACATTAGTTTTTTTATATATTATTCCGTAGTTGAGACTATTTAATTTTTTTATTGAAGTTTATTTCTATATATTGGTTGTTAGGTTGCCTAGCATGCAGTGTTAGGCGCTATCACCGCTCTGGTGAGATTTTGAGTCATAACAAGTTGGTATCGGAGTACTAGGTTGCATAGGTCTCACGAGTCATGAGTAAGTCTAGTAGAGTCTTGCAAATCAGTACTGAAACGTCTGTATTTATCTTCGAGAGGCTATAGGACCGTTAGGAAAACTTCTCTTTCTTTTGTTCTCTGTCGTGACGGTTTGTTTATCCCTAAGCTTGAATCTTTGCTTTTCTATTCTCTCACAAATAGTGAGGACACATTCTTCCGGTACAGTTGAGCAGGCGCCGGTATCCCAGGCCAGGGCAGCAAGAGGCTGGGGAGGCAGAGGCATGGTGGAGCATGTGCCGTAACTAGGGCCCCTACTTGAGCAGCTGCTATGGAGTCACCACTGACTCTCGTTTTGGAGCAGATTCATAATTATGTTGAGCCAATGGAACGATATTAGGTTCCCAAGGGTTTACTTACTACTCCAGCTATTCAGGACGCTTTGGTCCGTATGGTTGGTTTGCTCGAGAGTTTGGCTTAGGCCAGTGTGTTTCCTACTATAGACGCTACATCCCAAGCAGGGGGCGGAGTGCAAACTACAGCTATTCGTACTATAGAGTAGATGGTCGATGGTTATCAGATCTTTGGTATGTTAC